GAGAGGTCGCGGTTCGGACCTTAGCTAACGTACTAAAGTAATATAACTAAATAACTAATAAAAAAAGGAAGATTATAAGGAGGGGCTAAGATAAAAGAAGGAAATCTTAGGCTAATTAAAAGCTAAGGTTTTTAAGGGTAAATAAGTTTTAAAGTTTTTAGGTTTTTTTCGTATTTAGAAGAGCCTTTCGTTCCTTAGGGGCACGTAATAATAAAAGTAGCCGGCTATAAGGATCGGGTAAAGGAGGGGGGGGGAGGGCAGCAGCGACTAATAATAAGGTAGGTAAGGAAGGAAGCGCCGACGACTAATTATAAGGGATATTTTACCGGGATTACTAAAAGAGGAGAAAATTTATAAGCTAATCGTTTTAAGGAAAGGACGGAGTTTAGCGTTTTTTCCCCGCGCGCTAATAACGCGCTAATAATAACGCGCTAATAAAGGCCTTTTATTCCTTAAGGCATAAATAAAGGCCTTTTATTCCTTAAGGTATATAAAATATAGGTAAGGTAACTTATTAGGGGTTATATAAAGAGCCTTAAGGAACGAAAGTTTAAGGTTAGAGTTTATATTAGGTTATTAAAAGGTTTAAATAAAAGATTAGGAGAGGGATCTATACTACTTTAAAGGGTCTATAAACCGGTGCAAAATAACCGATATTCTTAGAGGAGTATTACTTATATTTTTTAAAGTCGTTGCTAGTAACTAATAGCCTTAGATAGGAGATAAAAGTTGGTAACTTAGTATATAAGAGCTAGATTTAATATATAGCTTCTTATCTTTTATATATATATATATAGAGCCTCCTTTTACTATAGCGTTAAGAACTAAACTATAGGTCTATAGCAACCTCTTTAGTTTATATATACTAGTAAAGAATACTAAAAGGGTAGACTAAAAGGTCTATAAGAAGGAACGCTTTCTAAGGGAAGGATAATAGACGCGGAGAACTTAGAAGGAAAGCGTAACGATATTAAAAGTTATAGATAGGCTATTGCAATATAGTAAGCTAGGTTTATATTTCTATAAAAAGAGCGGGCTTAGGTCTAGTAATAGGTTGCTTATCTACTAAGGAATTAAAATACTACCGAAAATATATATATAATATAGTTATTTTACTTCCTAATTATTTTATCTCTATAAGTTTCTTACTTAGATACCGACCTCGATATAGCTAGGTAGGTAAGTTTAATAGGGCCTTTAAAGCGTTCCCGAAGGTAAGACCCTAACTAATTATTTCTAGCTTGAAAGAAGATAGAGTAGATAAGATAGAGAAAGACTAAGTAGTAGACCTCTTATTATCGGCCGACGAGGAAGGGTCGGGTAACCGCTATAGCACGCGGGGCCTCTTTATCGGCGTTTCGGCGGGCCTAGGATATAAACGTTTCTACGGTAAGGTATTTAGGCCGGCTAAAGCTAAAGTTAAAGCCGAAGGGGGAGGAGTCGGCGGGAGGGCGCTAGGCGGAGCGATAGAGTAAGAGGTAGCGCGGATATTCTAGAAAGCCGCCGAAGTCGAGGATATTAGCGGCTTTAGCAGCGTCGCGAGATGCGAGGCCGCCGTAGTTATAGTAGTAGCCTTATCGAGAAAAGTCTACGAATCTAGGACGATAATAAAAATTTAGTCTCGGCTAGAGCCTAGAGCGTAGATTATAGCGCGATAATTAGGTAGGCTAGCGACTTTGCCTATATAGGTAAAGTAGATATTAGCCTAGAAGTAAGAGTCCCGCCGCTCGGCTATCTTCTTATATAAGATAGCCTAAGGGTTAGCGTAAATAGGGAAGACGATAAAGACTTAAAATAAGTAGAAGCCTCTAAATAGGGCCTTATTAAGGTTCCTAGGAGTAAGGTAAGTAGATAGCTAAACGAAGCTATAGTATTTTAGCTAGGCGGCGTCTAGTCCTAGTAAGAGCTCTTATCGTAGTAAGGAGTAACTAGAGCTAACGATAGGCCCGGTAAAGGAAACGATAGGCGGGATATAGAGGAAATTATCTATAGAGTTAAAGAGCCTAGGAAGAACGCTTTACTTACTATTAGCTAAATTTTTCTAGGGTAACTATCGGCGAGGGTTAGGCGTATATCTTATAGCTAGTAGTCTTAGTCGCGGACGATAAGGGCGGGCATAGTATAGAGAAGGGTGCCGCCCGTGTTAGGCTCTAGAATATCGTGCTACGCAACCTCCTAGGTAGGGGCATAGGGATAGACGCGGCTATTTATAAAGAACTACTCTTCGGCCTATTCGGATAAGATAATAAGCTAACCGTAAATCGAGAGATTAAGACTAAAGAAGATAGATATTAGCGACTCGTTAGTATTTAATCGGAGGGGCGTATATTTAGCGGTTAGCAACTAAGAGGGAGGAGGCAGAGGGACGCGGGCGATCGTCTCGGCGTTAAGACCCTTAATGCGATGCTTATCCTAATAAGCGAACCTAGAAGGGCAGTCCGGCTAGACGAAGAATATTATAGTTATGTCGCTGCCTACGCCTTTTAGGCCGTCGAGCGGCCTTCGGAGGTGGGTTAAAGAGTCAGCGAAGGAGGCGAAGGCAGACATAGCATATTCGTATAGTTAGACTACTCTATGCTTACGAGCATGCGATTCTGTCTCTGGAAAGCAATCGTAGATAAAGCATAATATATTTATCCTATCTGCGGGTCGTGGCTCTCAGGAGGTGCCGGTCGCTATAGCATGCGGTTGCAAGGAGAAGTAGATAGAGTCGATGGTCACTAGGACGAAGAGTGAGTCACACGCGGAGGCGGTCTAGGGAAGTATATTGTGAGTAGTAGTAGTAGTAGTATTGATTACCGTCTAGGACATCCCTATAAGGGCAAAAGACGTGCTAGGCTAGAGAAGACTAGATACATAGAATATCCCGGGTACCTAGACTAAGGACCGTGTGTAGCACCTAACCACTCTATCTAGCAATTCTGAGGCTCTGAGGCCGGTCGGAAATTCGGGGCCCTTCCCCCGTTAGCGGGTTCTAGGCACGGCAGTTAAGCCGTAATAGTAGTCAGTCCTTGGCCGAGGCCGGGTGACTGAGAAAGCCCACGAAGTCATGGGCCGGCCGCAAGCCCCCTCGAGGAGGGCCTACGGGGCAGAAAGAAAAAGAAAAGAAAAAGGAAGCAGAGAGTATAGCAATGTTAATCGGGGGTTCGCCCCGATGGCGATTGTCTTCTCCCGCAGGAGCGTTCGATCCAGGACCACTTCGTGGTCATGACAGTCGGCGAAGTCCCCGTGCCTGCTCCTCGTAGCAAGCAGGTGGCGGAGGTGTTGTCGATTGGTGTGCAGCTCCGGGGGACACCCGGGTGAGGCCTTGAGCTCTAGGCTCTTGTAGCTCCTCGGGGCCCCCGCGGCCCACCAGTCCAGAGGAAGTCGTGGCCGCTGGGCGGCAAAGGTCGGGGCCGCGAGATGGCAGAAGGAGTCAGAGCCGCAAGGCGGCAGAAGGCGAGGCCAGCCAGTAAAGGCGGCAGAGGGTGCGAGGCAGCGCGAGGCGTGCCAGGAAGGGCGAGAAGAAGTCGGGCCGCGAGGCGGCAGAAGTCGAGGCCAGCCAGTAAAGGCGGCAGAAGAAGGCGATGCCGCAAGGCGGCAGAAGGCGAGGCAGCGCGAGGCATGCCGTTATTCGAGACCAGCTTCTCAAGAGGAGACGAACTCTCCAAAGTCTGCCTTTTGGTGCTTGCTAGAGCCCCGTTAGGGCTAGAGACGCAGAAGCATGGTCGGGTGACCTGAAAATAATTATCCACTAACAGGCTGCTAACAGCCCGCAGAAGAGAAGAATTTTTACAGGGGAGAGTTGGACTCTTAGGAGGTAGTAGTAGTAGTAGTAGTAGTATTGATTACCGTCTGGGACATCCCTATAAGGGCAAAAGACGTGCTAGGCTAGGTATAGTACAAGATGGGGATGCTCGTCGGAGACCCGTCGCGCGTTCCTTACTTCTACTCCCCTATCTAGCAATTTTTGACTCTGTGGCCGCTCGGATTCTCAGGTCCCTTCCCCCGTCAGCGGGTTCCGGGCACGGCGGCGAAGCCGTAATATTAGTCAGTCTTCGGTCAGAGCCGGGTGACTGAGAAAGCCCACGCAGTCAGCTGGGCCGTAGGCCCACAGGAGCCTACGGGCAGAAAACATAGAAAGAGAGAGTTGTACATATTAGGTTGGAGGGTTGCCTCGAGCTAGTGGCGGTGGCAGATCCGATCAAAGAATTCTGCCTCCGTTACTAGCCCGAGGAACCGGTCAAATCCCCTTCCTAGTGCCTGGTTGATAGCCTTGCCTGCCGTGGGGCTAGCCTTAGGCGGTGTCGAGTACCTACCTTCCGGCAGTAGAAGGTGTGTCGGTGATTTTCTCCTCCCGCAAGAGCATTCGATCCGGGCCTCTTCGTGGTTAAACCTCTCGTGGTAGTCGGCGAAGTCCCCGTGCCCGCTCCTCGCAGCGAGCAGGTGATGGAGGTGCTCGTTTGGTGTGCAGCTCCGGGGGGCACCCGAGCGAGGCCTTGAGCTCTAGGCTCTTGTAGCTGCTCGGGGCCCCCGCGGCCCACCAGTCCTGGAAGTCGCGCCTGGCCGCAGCCTTGGCCTGTCTCTTGATGTTCGCGTAGGTCGGCGGACTCTTAGGAGGTAGTAGTAGTAGTAGTAGTAGTAGTATTGATTACCGTCTGGGACATCCCTATAAGGGCAAAAGACGTGCTAGGCTAGGTATAGTACAAGATGGGGATGCTCGTCGGAGACCCGTCGCGCGTTCCTTACTTCTACTCCCCTATCTAGCAATTCTTGGACTCTGTGGCCGCTCGATTCTCAGGTCCCTTCCCCGTCAGCGGGTTCCGGGCACGGCGGCGAAGCCATAATATTAGTCAGTCTTCGGTCAGAGCCGGGTGACTGAGAAAGCCCACGCAGTCAGCTGGGCCGTAGGCCCACAGGAGCCTACGGGCAGAAAACATAGAAGAGAGTTGTACATATTAGGTTGAGGGCCTCGAGCTAGTGGCGGTGGCAGATCCGATCAAAGAATTCTGCCTCCGTTACTAGCCCGAGGAACCGGTCAAATCCCTTCCTAGTGCCTGGTTGATAGCCTTGCCCGCCGTGGGGCTAGCCTTAGGCGGTGTCGAGTACCTTCCGGCAGTAGGGTGTGTCGGTGATTTTCTCCTCCCGCAAGAGCATTCGATCCGGGCCTCTTCGTGGTTAAACCTCTCGTGGTAGTCGGCGAAGTCCCCGTGCCCGCTCCTCGCAGCGAGCAGGTGATGGAGGTGCTCTCGTTTGGTGTGCAGCTCCGGGGGGCACCCGAGCGAGGCCTTGAGCTCTAGGCTCTTGTAGCTGCTCGGGGCCCCCGCGGCCCACCAGTCCTGGAAGTCGCGCCTGGCCGCAGCCTTGGCCTGTCTCTTGATGTTCGCGTAGGTCGGCGATCTGTCCGGACCCTCGGCCCGGCAGCCCTCCTTTGCTAGCTGGTCGGCCCGCTCGTTGCCGGCGATCCCCGTATGGCCGGGGCACCAACGCGTGCTGACATCTCCGTGTCGAGCCGCGGCCTCAGCGAACTTCTCCGCAGCCGCTTGCGACGAGATCGATGGGCTGCCTCGTATGGCTCTTATAGCCGCAGTGTTATCAAGGCAGACGACTATCGGCCACTGCTGGTCCGGGGTTCTGGGGACCACGTGAGTGCCGCTCGAAGCCCTCGAGGGCGCCTTCCACCTCTGCGTCGTAGACCTCAGCGAGTAGGACCCGACCGCTGCCGTAGGTCACTTCGCTAGGCCTAGCCACACTGAGTACCCATACCCGCAGGCGCCGTCTTCGCTCTGCGAGCCGTCAGTGTAGACGATGAGGGTATCTTCAGGGCATACCCGGAGCCACGAGTGGAAGTCTCGAGCCGCCTGCGTTTTGTCTACGCCCCCTGTCGGGTCGGGCTGAGGGGGTGCTGGGGGGAGAAGTCGGGGCCTCGGAGCATGGGCCGTCATTTGGTGAAGACGCAGGAGTCTCGAGGCGTGCTGCTTCTGGGCCGCGCGAGGGGCCCGCATACCGTGCCTCTTCATTAGCTCCCGGCCAGGCGTTGGGAGGATGCTCATACGGGGTCAAGGGTGCCGCTCATCTAGGGAGCGTAGACGGACCGCGGCGCGTCTCTGGGCGTCTGCGAGGAGCAGCGTGGCAGGGGGGATGCCGGTCTCTCGGTGGAGGGCCACAATCGGCATGGTACACCAGACGGGCGCGATAGCGCGCATTGCGACGTTTAAGGTCAGCTGGATCCTATTCTTCAGGTAGGTGATCCGCGACGGAACTAAGCGGGCAGTCCCCACACAGGCCGAAGCGCCCCGGGTACCATACATGGGCGCCGTATAAAGGATCGGGAGGACGCAGGCCGTGACCGCATGCCGTGTCGACCGGGGAGGGATTCCGCGCCGGGTGTTTGAGAGGTTCTGGAGGAACCCTGCGGCCGTCATCGCCTTCGCGGCCCACTTCTCCACATGCGTGCGGAATGAGAGCTTTCTGTCGTACCAGACGCCGAGCCAGCGCAGGTCCTGCTGTGGCTCCTTTCTACGGACCCGTGCCAGACCGACGGCAGGTCCCCTTTGTATCTCGGTCTCGTGAAGTGGATGACTTCTGTCTTGCCCGGGTCGAACACTACGCCATTATCGGCTCCCCACTGGATGAGCTCACCCGCGGCGCGCGTGGCCCGGGCGGCCGTCTCCTGTGGGACCGGCCCCGGATCAGGTGGCCACGTCATCTGCGTAGCCGAAGCGCGAGTTCGGTTCCCCTATCGAGTAGATGGGCACTGTATAGAGGAGGAAGAGAATCGGGGAGGCCGGGGAGCCCTGTGGCAGCCCGCACGTCAGGGGGGTTGTCGGCGTCGTTATATCCTCGAGCCGTATTCTGGCCGATCTCTGCTCCATAGCAGCCTGCCCACCGGACCAGGTTTGTTGGCCAGCCCTGTTCCGTAGGCGTAGGAGGAGCCGGTTCCGCAGAACCGTGTCAAAGGCGCCCTGTATATCCATCGTGATTAGCGTGGCGACTTTCCCTCGGTGAGGGCCGTCTCCGCGTCGTGGAGCAATGCTAGCGCTAGGTCGAGCGCTGAACGTTTGGGCAGGGCACCCGCATGCTGGCTGTGGATGACTCGTTGTGTGATCGCAGCCCAGGCTAGGCGCCGGGCTATTAGGCGTTCGAGTCCTTGCCGAGGCAAGCTAGAGAGAAATCGGCCTCCAGCCTCTCGGAATAGACAGGTCCCTCTTGCCAGGCTTAGGGATCATTACGACCTCTGCTGCGCGGAAACAGGCGGGGTGGTAGCCCACGTGTAGGCAGCCTTCATATAGTTCCCTCACCGCCTCGCCGATGTGGTTCCAGACGCGACGCAGCATTCGGACCGTGATGCCGTCGATCCCCGGGAGGTGTTGCCCGTAGAGGTGCAGGCGCATGCCGCATCCGCGAGCGTGACGCTGCAGTCGAGAGTCCTCCTGGGGCCAGCACCTCTGGGGCCCAGGGGTCCGGATGTCGTCCGCGGCCCCGCGCCTTTCTAGGATCTCGACTCGGAGCGCGTTTGCCTTTTCCGTCTGGGTCTCGAAGACCTGGTCGCCTACCTGTATAGGCGGGGCCCGAACGGCTCGGTTTCCTCGACCCCCGAATGATTTTATAGATATCCTGGTTCCTCTCGGCCCCTTCTAGAACAGTCTCCCAGAAATGTCTCTTAGCCCGCCGTACCGCCCGGCGCAGCTCCCGCCGGGCAGTCTGGACCTCTGCCGTGCCCTGTGGGGTAGATCCGCCGCATAGCTCTTAGTTCGGCCGCTGCACCGGCGCACTGATCGTTCCACCATGGGGTGCCTCTCGCGTTCTTCCTGGGCCGTCGGCCCGCTGCGTCGGCCGCCTCTTGGAGTAGGCGAGACAGCGCCTCGGCCAGCCTCCAGGCCTCTGGGCTCAACGGCCAGCCGGGGTAGTGCTGTGGCCCCAGCCCGCACAAGTTCCTCGAATCGCTTCATTTCTTCCTCGGAGCTTACCCTGGTCTAGCTATCGTCCTTGGGGAATCCCGCCGGGAGCGTAATGCTGATCGTGTAATGGTCCGAGCCGGTATGAAGGTGCTCTTCGATAAGCGCGTCCGCAGAGGGATATTGGCAAGGCTAGATCAATGGTATTTCCGCGGGCGTGTGTGGCCTCGCCTGGCGTGGTGAGCAGTCCGAGCCCTTGTCGGCCGCCCACTGGGCGATGTCCTTCCGTTCCTCGCACCCGGGCTCCAGGCTGCCAGGAGAAATGACAGGCGTTGAAGTCGCCCGCGATGAGGCATCTCTCGGGGACGTCCTGCTGGTGGAGGAGGTAGTCGAGTGGCTCGGGTGTCTTCGCGTGTCGATAGAAGTTGATAATAAGGGTGCTGTTTACCCGAGCCACAGGATATCACGCGTAGGGCGGGGCAGAGTTGCTCTGCCCGTATATCTGGGTGGTTCCGGACATACGAGATCACTCTCGGGGCCTGATCCGGTTCCCAGGCGCGTTCTGGGGCGAATGCGTGGAAGGAGCGGTGCGTCTGGGTCCTGCAGGCTCCGCCTTCTTTTCTATCCAAACGTTCGGTTCCTGGATGAGCACGACGTCGTAGTTTTCGCTTCCGCTAGTCGTAGGGCTATGCTATGATAGGCCCCTATTTTGGCCACGTTGGCCTGGAGAACTCGGATCGTCCTCCTGTCGCGAGTTGTTAGTGTTGGGGGCCTATTGTTCATAGGGGTCCAGGGATACGTTTCGTCGGCGCCTCTTCATAGGAGACTCGGATCTGTCTTCCTGTGGTGGAGGGAGCGTTGTGGAGTCTGGCGCCTGCGCGCTGGTGGGGGACAGCCGCTGGGGTCGACATTGCTGCTGCTGTTGCTGCTGCTGTTGCTGCTGCTGGTCCTGTTGCTTGCCGAGGCGGTCCTCGGCAGCTCTCATGCAGGGCGATGGGGTCGGTCCTTGGGAGGGTTGGGGAGGCGGTCGCCGTGGCCCGTTCGAGCTCCATATTGGCTTGCCGGTATAGCTGAGAGCCGATCTTCCTTACGGCGTACTTCTCGATCTTGAGAGCCGCACGAGTTGGCCGTGAGAGCGCCTAGGTCTGGCAGGGCACTCCTTATGGTCTGCCGGGAAGGGCCGGAACAGTTCGCGCACCTCTCCGGCTGCTTGCAGTCGTTATCGCGATGGTCTTTCCCGCCGCATCGTCGGCAGGCTTGTTTTCGGTCGCAGGCGTAGCGGGAGTGATAATCCCAACAGGTGTCGCACTGCGCGGGCCGGGCGGTCTTGGCGATCAGTCGGGCTAGTCGGCTGGTGCCGAAGAGCCGCCATCTCCTCTGTATCGCCGCCTGAAAGGACACAATCATTGTCACAGTGGGCTGGTCGGAGCTTTCGGAGTATCTCTTAGCAATGTGCACATCAATTGGTTCGGCACCTGTCTGGAGCTTGATCTCTTCTTTGATAGCTTGGTCATAGTCCACGGCGGCCCCCCAGATATCCGTGAGCTGCCTGGGGCAGTCGGCCACAGCGTACGTGTGCCACTTCTGGAAGCCTTCAACCGCCACGGCCCCGAGGCGGGCCGCCCAGTCGTCCTGCCGTTCCACAAGCAGGTCCTCGCCTCCCGGTCTGAGGCCCGTATAGCCCATCCAGTCTTAACCCGGGCGATCTGTGGCATGCGTTCTGTCCCTAGGTTGAGAGTCTTAGCTACGTGAGCTCTGATGGCATGCCCCTGATAGCCCCATGCTGGGGACTTGTCGTCGAGCCGCACGAAGACACGCAGGTCATCTTTAGGCGGCTGGACCGGAGGCGCCTTCCGGGGCTTCGGGCCGAGGCGTGCCGGCAGGGGAGCCCTTGTCTGTGCCATCCCCTTCTGGGCCATAGCGGCGTAGGTCGGTGCGGTCCCGTCTCTGCCGTGGCGGTTGTTGACATTCTGACCGGCGCGTGTGGGCGCGCCGTTGAGCGCGTCGTCCCAGTAGCTAATGAAGCCGCGCGAGAATTCCTTCGCGAAGCTGAGCTCGTGGCCCGAGTTGAACTGGGCAGCCGTCTTGTCGAAGGCGGTGCAGAATGCGCGGAAGACGGCCAGCTTTGCCTGTTGTGCTTCCATCTGGTTGGCGATAAGTCTCTCTGCCGCGTGGGCAACCGTTACTGCTGGGCCTTGAGTCTCGGGCAGGTCGTCCGGCTCGTCGGTCTCGGTTTCGTCTGCTGCGTCTCCCATTACAGCATCTGGCTGGTCGGTGTCGGTGTGGGCATTGTCGCTGTTCGTGGAGCCGAATGGAGAGTCGTCGGGTTGCTGTGCGCGTCGTGGCAACAGTAATTCGGCAAGACCCGCGCGTGGGGCCTGCCGGAGGAGCGCTTCTCTGCTCCTGGGGCGTTCGTGGGAGTCATCGGCTCTTGTTCCTGGGGCGGCAGTCGCGCCTGGTCCGCGGGGTTGGGTGCCATCGCCGCCCTCAGCTTGCGCTGAGCGTGGTGTTAAACGCCCTTGTTAGCGGATGTGTGTTGTGTACAGCGAAGTCCTTAACAGATGGTGCCAAGAAAGTAAGAATACAAGGGAGTGCTGGACTCTTAGGAGGTAGTAGTAGTAGTAGTATTGATTACCGTCTGGGACATCCCTATAAGGGCAAAAGACGTGCTAGGCTAGAGAAGACTAGATACATAGAATATCCCGAGTACCTGGACTAAGGACCGTGTGTAGCACCTAACCACTCCATCTAGCAATTCTGAGGCTCTGAGGCCGGTCGGAAATTCGGGGCCCTTCCCCCGTCAGCGGGTTCCAGGCACGGCAGTGAAGCCGTAATAGTAGTCAGTCTTTGGCCGAGGCCGGGTGACTGAGAAAGCCCACGAAGTCATGGGCCGGCCGCAAGCCCTCGAGGAGGGCCTACGGGCAGAAAGAAAAGAAAAGAAAAAGGAAGCAGAGAGTGTAGCAATGTTAGTCGGGGATTCGCCCCGATGGCGATTGTCTTCTCCGCAGGAGCGTTCGATCCGGGGCCACTTCGTGGTTATGACAGTCGGCGAAGTCCCCGTGCCTGCTCCTCGTAGCAAGCAGGTGGTGGAGGTGTTGTCGATTGGTGTGCAGCTCCGGGGGACACCCGGGTGAGGCCTTGAGCTCTAGGCTCTTGTAGCTCCTCGGGGCCCCCGCGGCCCACCAGTCCAGAGGAAGTCGGGCCGCTGGGCGGCAGAAAGGCCGCAAGGCGGCAAAGTTCAGCCGCGAGACGGCAGAAGGAGGCAGAGCCGCAAGGCGGCAGAAGGCGAGGCCAGCCAGTAAAGGCGGCAGAGGTGCGAGGCAGCGCGAGGCGTGCCAGGAAGGGCGAGAAGAAGGGCCGCGAGGCGGCAGAAGAGGTCGGGGCCGCGAGGCGGCAGAAGTCGAGGCCAGCCAGTAAAGGCGGCAGAAGAAGGCGATGCCGCGAGGCGGCAGAAGGCGAGGCAGCGCGAGGCATGCCGTTATTCGAGACCAGCTTCCCAAGAGGAGACGAACTCTCCAAAGTCTGCCTTTTGGTGCTTGCTAGAGCCCCGTTAGGGCTAGAGAGGCAGAAGCATGGTCGGGTGACCTGAAAATAATTATCCACTAACAGGCTGCTAACAGCCCGCAGAAGAGAAGAATTTTTACAGGGGAGAGTTGGACTCTTAGGAGGTGGGAGCTTGCGAATTCCAAATAAAGTGGGGCGTGGCACGGGTAGCCCCTGAATGCGTATCTTATGTAGCTACGTACTGTGGGGCTCGTGACATGGGTGCGGTCCGTCGGCACTCAAAGGGATGCGAGTTCCAAATAAGTGGGGCGTGGCACGGGTACTCGGAAGAGTTGGCAACCGATCGCCCCCTGGCGTGAAACCCAGCCTCCACGCGCTGACTCGCCGGACCTGTCACGTCCTTATGTTAGCTCGCCGGGACCGTGACGCCCGGAACCAGGCAGGTACGTGGTGACGTCGCGGAGTCGTTGGTGTATGCCCACCGGTTCCACGGGTCTACCTGGAAGGCGTCCTTGATGTGCTCGCCCGGCTTTGGTGAATAGTCCGCTTGCACCGTAGTTGCACGCACTGGCAGTGACCGACCAAAAGCAGCGTCCCGTCTCAAGGGGGTGGGTGGCACGCGAATCCCTACCGGCCGACAATAACAGGCTACGTCGTCTGCCTCGAATTGATTACCGAATAGGTCGTACCACCAACCCCGGTTGCGATCCCTACAGAAGTGAATGAGTTCGTTTTGCCCTCGCAAGTTGCAGATATATACCAGGGAGGGCCGGCCAATCTTGTCACAGTAGGACAGACCCGTCCACACGTCACGTCCGCGCTGGATTTGGGGCAGCTGTGGTTTCCCACGCACCGGGCCCTGTCGCACCGGCCTCCCTCGCTGGTCGCGTGTACCCCACGGTGGCACGGCCAGGGCCTTCCCCTTCTCCGGTCCAGGCAGGGTAGCTCTGGGCCCGGTTTCACGCTTGTCTTTGTTGACAAACCCGCAGATGCGAACCCTTGAACCGGAAGCACTTAACCATCTGTGCGCTCCAGACGGCTTCGGGTGTATTTTTGTAGCCCGGTACCCCCGACCCGGGGATCGGACATTTGTCGGTGTGCAGTCGTGCATGATACCGATTCCCTCCACGAAGCTATGGCGTGTGTCACCAATCCATCCAACCCCATCCTTCTCGCAAACCGCGAAGTATTGAAACTTTCCCCCAATCCAGCAGGCCATGGTTACATATGGCCTAGCGAAAGGTGTGCATGCTAAGTCGCGACTGCTTATGTCGACATCGGGCGCTCTCTCCCCGCCAGGTCCCAACGGGATCTGCTTGGCTGAACATGTTCCTAAGAACGCCAGTAGTAGCCAGGCGATTAGGAAACCCACCCGGACCCCAGACCGAGGGGCAGGGCCCACCGCACCCCGCAGCCGAATCCAGCCCGAGGTAATATCATGCCAACAGAATGACACCGAGAGCGTGAGGGCAGGCATTTCTGGTCTGACGCGGGTTGGTTGCGGGCGCTTTTATGGTACGGGTGTGGAAAATCGGGCGGGTTGTTGGTTGGAGTCCGGCAGATGGGAGGCGGTAACGCGTGAAGTCAGTCTGTAGGCTTGGGTCGGTGGCCTCGTAGGCGTAGTGGGATCACTGAGTCCGAATCCAATGCTTATAGGTGGTGACAGAATTTTTTGGGAAGCGGCTGAGTTACTCATTCTTTATACCCGTGCCACGCCCCATTTAGGTGGTGCGAGTTCTACGAGTGACAATAAAGTGGGACGTGGCACGGGTACTCAGAGAGCACTATGCGCTCTCTTAGCGTAAGCTGGCGTCTTACTTGGCATGGAAGCCATGCCAGTGATCGGAATGGCTGGTCTGGTCTGGTCTCGGGGGTCAGACCAACACGCCCGCCAAGGAAGCTGACGTAATCGTGCCCGCCCCCACTTTAATTTGGTTTCGCGAAGGCTCACCCACTCTGTCTTACAGCACTCCCTTGTATTCTTACTTTCTTGGCACCATCTGTTAAGGACTTCGCTGTACACAACACACATCCGCTAACAAGGGCGTTTAACACCACGCTCAGCGCAAGCTGAGGGCGGCGATGGCACCCAACCCCGCGGACCAGGCGCGACTGCCGCCCCAGGAACAAGAGCCGATGACTCCCACGAACGCCCCAGGAGCTAGAGAAGCGCTCCTCCGGCAGGCCCCACGCGCGGGTCTTGCCGAATTACTGTTGCCACGACGCGCACAGCAACCCGACGACTCTCCATTCGGCTCCACGAACAGCGACAATGCCCACACCGACACCGACCAGCCAGATGCTGTAATGGGAGACGCAGCAGACGAAACCGAGACCGACGAGCCGGACGACCTGCCCGAGACTCAAGGCCCAGCAGTAACGGTTGCCCACGCGGCAGAGAGACTTATCGCCAACCAGATGGAAGCACAACAGGCAAAGCTGGCCGTCTTCCGCGCATTCTGCACCGCCTTCGACAAGACGGCTGCCCAGTTCAACTCGGGCCACGAGCTCAGCTTCGCGAAGGAATTCTCGCGCGGCTTCATTAGCTACTGGGACGACGCGCTCAACGGCGCGCCCACACGCGCCGGTCAGAATGTCAACAACCGCCACGGCAGAGACGGGACCGCACCGACCTACGCCGCTATGGCCCAGAAGGGGATGGCACAGACAAGGGCTCCCTGCCGGCACGCCTCGGCCCGAAGCCCCGGAAGGCGCCTCCGGTCCAGCCGCCTAAAGATGACCTGCGTGTCTTCGTGCGGCTCGACGACAAGTCCCCAGCATGGGGCTATCAGGGGCATGCCATCAGAGCTCACGTAGCTAAGACTCTCAACCTAGGGACAGAACGCATGCCACAGATCGCCCGGGTTAAGACTGGATGGGCTATACGGGCCTCAGACCGGGAGGCGAGGACCTGCTTGTGGAACGGCAGGACGACTGGGCGGCCCGCCTCGGGGCCGTGGCGGTTGAAGGCTTCCAGAAGTGGCACACGTACGCTGTGGCCGACTGCCCCAGGCAGCTCACGGATATCTGGGGGGCCGCCGTGGACTATGACCAAGCTATCAAAGAAGAGATCAAGCTCCAGACAGGTGCCGAACCAATTGATGTGCACATTGCTAAGAGATACTCCGAAAGCTCCGACCAGCCCACTGTGACAATGATTGTGTCCTTTCAGGCGGCGATACAGAGGAGATGGCGGCTCTTCGGCACCAGCCGACTAGCCCGACTGATCGCCAAGACCGCCCGGCCCGCGCAGTGCGACACCTGTTGGGATTATCACTCCCGCTACGCCTGCGACCGAAAACAAGCCTGCCGACGATGCGGCGGGAAAGACCATCGCGATAACGACTGCAAGCAGCCGGAGAGGTGCGCGAACTGTTCCGGCCCTTCCCGGCAGACCATAAGGAGTGCCCTGCCAGACCTAGGCGCTCACGGCCAACTCGTGCGGCTCTCAAGATCGAGAAGTACGCCGTAAGGAAGATCGGCTCTCAGCTATACCGGCAAGCCAATATGGAGCTCGAACGGGCCACGGCGACCGCCTCCCCCCAACCCTCCCAAGGACCGACCCCATCGCCCTGCATGAGAGCTGCCGAGGCCCGCCTAGGCAAGCAACAGGACCAGCAGCAGCAACAGCAGCAGCAACAGCAGCAGCAATGTCGACCCCAGCGGCTGTCCCCCACCAGCGCGCAGGCGCCAGACTCCACAACGCTCCTCCACCACAGGAAGACAGATCCGAGTCTCCTATGAAGAGGCGCCGACGAAACGTATCCCTGGACCCCTATGAACAATAGGCCCCCAACACTAACAACTCGCGACAGGAGGACGATCCGAGTTCTCCAGGCCAACGTGGCCAAAATAGGGGCCTATCATAGCATAGCCCTACGACTAGCGGAAGCAGAAAACTACGACGTCGTGCTCATCCAGGAACCGAACGTTTGGATAGAAAGAAGGCGGAGCCTGCAGGACCCAGACGCACCGCTCCTTCCACGCATTCGCCCCAGAACGCGCCTGGGAACCGGATCAGGCCCCGAGAGTGATCTCGTATGTCCGGAACCACCCAGATATACGGGCAGAGCAACTCTGCCCCGCCCCTACGCGTGATATCCTGTGGCTCCGGGTAAACAGCACCCTTATTATCAACTTCTATCGACACGCGAAGACACCCGAGCCACTCGACTACCTCCTCCACCAGCAGGACGTCCCCGAGAGATGCCTCATCGCGGGCGACTTCAACGCCTGTCATTTCTCCTGGCAGCCTGGAGCCCGGAGTGCGAGGAACGGAAGGACATCGCCCAGTGGGCGGCCGACAAGGGCTCGGACTGCTCACCACGCCAGGCGAGGCCACACACGCCCGCGGAAATACCATTGATCTAGCCTTTGCCAATATCCCTCTGCGGACGCGCTTATCGAAGAGCACCTTCATACCGGCTCGGACCATTACACGATCAGCATTACGCTCCCCGGCGGATTCCCCCAAGGACGATAGCTAGACCAAGGGTAAGCTCCGAGGAAGAAATGAAGCGATTCGAGGAACTTGTGCGGGCTGGGGCCACAGCACTACCCCGGCTGGCCGTTGAGCCCAGAGGCCTGGAGAGGCTGGCCGAGGCGCTGTCTCGCCTACTCCAAGAGGCGGCCGACGCAGCGGGCCGACGGCCCAGGAAGAACGCGAGAGGCACCCCATGGTGGAACGATCAGTGCGCCGGTGCAGCGGCCGAACTAAGAGCTATGCGGCGGATCTACCCCACAGGGCACGGCAGAGAGGTCCAGACTGCCCGGCGGGAGCTGCGCCGGGCGGTACGGCGGGCTAAGAGACATTTCTGGCAGACTGTTCTAGAAGGCGCCGAGAGCAACCAGGATATCTATAAGATCATGCGGTGGTCGAGGAAACCGAGCCCGTTCCGGGCCCCGCCTATACAGGTAGGCGACCAGGTCTTCGAGACCCAGACGGAAAAGGCAAACGCGCTCCGAGTCGAGATCCTAGAAAGGCGCGGGGCCGCGGACGACATCCCGGACCCCTGGGCCCCAGAGGTGCTGGCCCCAGGAGGACTCTCGACTGCAGCGTCACGCTCGCGGATGCGGCATGCGCCTGCACCTCTACGGGCAACACCTCCCGGGGATCGACGGCATCACGGTCCGAATGCTGCGTCGCGTCTGGAACCACATCGGCGAGGCGGTGAGGGAACTATATGAAGGCTGCCTACACGTGGGCTACCACCCCGCCTGTTTCCGCGCAGCAGAGGTCGTAATGATCCCTAAGCCTGGCAAGAGGGACCTGTCTATTCCGAGAGGCTGGAGGCCGATTTCTCTCCAGCTTGCCTCGGCAAGGGACTCGAACGCCTAATAGCCCGGCGCCTGCCTGGGCTGCGATCACACAACGAGTCATCCACAGCCAGCATGCGGGTGCCCTGCCCAAACGTTCAGCGCTCGACCTAGCGCTAGCATTGCTCCACGACGCGGAGACGGCCCTCACCGAGGGGAAAGTCGCCACGCTAATCACGATGGATATACAGGGCGCCTTTGACACGGTTCTGCGGAACCGGCTCCTCCTACGCCTACGGGAACAGGGCTGGCCAACAAACCTGGTCCGGTGGGCAGGCTGCTTTATGGAGCAGAGATCGGCCAGAATACGGCTCGAGGATATAACGACGCCGACAACCCCCCTGACGTGCGGGCTGCCACAGGGCTCCCCGGCCTCCCCGATTCTCTTCCTCCTCTATACAGTGCCCATCTACTCGACAGGGGAACCGAACTCGCGCTTCGGCTACGCAGATGACGTGGCCACCCTGATCCGGGGCCGGTCCCTACAGGAGACGGCCGCCCGGGCCACGCGCGCCGCGGGTGAGCTCATCCAGTGGGGAGCCGATAATGGCGTAGTGTTCGACCCGGGCAAGACAGAAGTCATCCACTTCACGAGACCGAGATACAAAGGGGACCTGCCGTCGGTCTGGCACGGGTCCGTAGAAAGGAGCCACAGCAGGACCTGCGCTGGCTCGGCGTCTGGTACGACAGAAAGCTCTCATTCCGCACGCATGTGGAGAAGTGGGCCGCGAAGGCGATGACGGCCGCAGGGTTCCTCCAGAACCTCTCAAACACCCGGCGCGGAATCCTCCCGGTCGACACGGCATGCGGTCACGGCCTGCGTCCTCCCGATCCTTTATACGGCGCCCATGTATGGTACCCGGGGCGCTTCGGCCTGTGTGGGGGACTGCCCGCTTAGTTCCGTCGCGGATCACCTACCTGAAGAATAGGATCCAGCTGACCTTAAACGTCGCAATGCGCGCTATCGCGCCCGTCTGGTGTACCATGCCGATTGTGGCCCTCCACCGAGAGACCGGCATCCCCCCTGCCACGCTGCTCCTCGCAGACGCCCAGAGACGCGCCGCGGTCCGTCTACGCTCCCTAGATGAGCGGCACCCTTGACCCCGTATGAGCATCCTCCCAACGCCTGGCCGGGAGCTAATGAAGAGGCACGGTATGCGGGCCTCGCGCGGCCCAGAAGCAGCACGCCTCGAGACTCCTGCGTCTTCACCAAATGACGGCCCATGCTCCGAGGCCCCGACTTCTCCCCCCAGCACCCCCTCAGCCCGACCCGACAGGGGGCGTAGACAAAACGCAGGCGGCTCGAGACTTCCACTCGTGGCTCCGGGTATGCCCTGAAGATACCCTCATCGTCTACACTGACGGCTCGCAGAGCGAAGACGGCGCCTGCGGGTATGGGTACTCAGTGTGGCTAGGCCCCAGCGAAGTGACCTACGGCAGCGGTCGGGTCCTACTCGCTGAGGTCTACGACGCAGAGGTGGAAGGCGCCCTCGAGGGGCTTCGAGCGGCACTCACGTGGTCCCCCAGAACCCCGGACCAGCAGTGGCCGATAGTCGTCTGCCTTGATAACACTGCGGCTATAAGAGCCATACGAGGCAGCCCATCGATCTCGTCGCAAGCGGCTGCGGAGAAGTTCGCTGAGGCCGCGGCTCGACACGGAGATGTCAGCACGCGTTGGTGCCCCGGCCATACGGGGATCGCCGGCAACGAGCGGGCCGACCAGCTAGCAAAGGAGGGCTGCCGGGCCGAGGGTCCGGACAGATCGCCGACCTACGCGAACATCAAGAGACAGGCCAAGGCTGCGGCCAGGCGCGACTTCCAGGACTGGTGGGCCGCGGGGCCCTGAGCAGCTACAAGAGCCTAGAGCTCAAGGCCTCGCTCGGGTGCCCCCCGGAGCTGCACACCAAACGAGAGCACCTCCATCACCTGCTCGCTGCGAGGAGCGGGCACGGGGACTTCGCCGACTACCACGAGAGGTTTAACCACGAAGAGGCCCGGATCGAATGCTCTTGCGGGAGGAGAAAATCACCGACACACCCCTTCTACTGCCGGAAGGTAGGTACTCGACACCGCCTAAGGCTAGCCCCCACGGCGGGCAAGGCTATCAACCAGGCACTAGGAAGGGGATTTGACCGGTTCCTCGGGCTAGTAACGGAGGCAGAATTCTTTGATCGGATCTGCCACCGCCACTAGCTCGAGGCAACCCTCCAACCTAATATGTACAACTCTCTCTTTTCTATGTTTTCTGCCCGTAGGCTCCCTGTGGGCCTACGGCCCAGCTGACTGCGTGGGCTTTCTCAGTCACCCGGCTCTGACCGAAGACTGACTAATATTACGGCTTCGCCGCCGTGCCCGGAACCCGCTGACGGGGGAAGGGACCTGAGAATCCGAGCGGCCACAGAGTCCAAGAATTGCTAGATAGGGGAGTAGAAGTAAGGAACGCGCGACGGGTCTCCGACGAGCATCCCCATCTTGTACTATACCTAGCCTAGCACGTCTTTTGCCCTTATAGGGATGTCCCAGACGGTAATCAATACTACTACTACTACTACCTCCTAAGAGTCCCGGAATGCCGACCGAGTTAAGATCGTCTGCAGAGACAAAGCCGAGCTTTAGATGGTCAAAGAGGCTGCGCAGAAGACAGCCGTGGAAGGTTCACGAGTTAACGTCAGCCACCTAGCTTACAGCACACCCCCCTTCCAGCACCATTCCCACAGCAAAGAGGGCACCTTCCAACGGCAATTGAAGCCGCATTTTAACATCGCGATAGATCAATTTAGTGTTTTCTAGCTATTTAAGCTGCCAGCTACTACATAGAGCTTCAAAATCTGCGTTCTGATTGGCTGTTGCAATGGCAGACGGCTTAAGGATGCGTTCGAGCCGTTTTCTCGTCTTAAGGACTTATTCAATGCGTACGAAGCGGCCATTAGGGTCTTATAGTATCTTTTTCTGCTTCTGAGGCCGTAGACGATATACTTGGTGCTCAAGTTATTGTATGCGTAGCTATGCCGTTGCAAGCTGCGAATTCTAACGGTCGAGGGAGCGGCCAATTTTGTTAAAAAGTACTCGGGTTATACGGTCAGCTCTGCCGCGCTTTGCTAGGCCAACAATAAAGCTACGGACTTCCTATGATCGTCTTAGTGTTTTAAAGGCATCGTTATTCGTCTAAGAGCTAAGGTTCTTCTTCTTTGGCGGCGTTAACGGTATCTTTAGCTATTATAAGATAAGGGGGCTCGTTAAGGGCTTTGCTATATTAACTAGCTAAAGACCGGCCCCTCGCTACCCTCCTTTAATGCTTCTTTCTATTAGACTAGTCTGCCGCGCCTAATAATAGCAGCGAAGGAAGAGAGCTTTGCCGAGAGGCGCTATATTATCGAAAGATACGATCTTTTCGAGCTCGCGTCGGTAGGCGCCCTTAATTAGGGCAAAAACCGAGACATCGAGAGGTTAAAGGACGTAAGAGGCGTATAGTAGTAAGAAAAAGAGATATATGCCGTGCTAGAAGCATTCGTATATAAAATCGTTAGTCTAATAGCTTCCGTGGCTATCTAATATAAGAAGAACGTTGCTTTATAGCTGCTTTCTTATCTATAGGATAAAGATATCTTTAAGCTACCGAATCGCGATCTCGTCGCTTATCTAGCCCCTTAGGGAGGCCACGAAGTTCTAATCCTTTAAAAAATCGAGTTTATTAGGGAACTATTAGTATTAAAGGTCTTAACCTTTAAAGATTATAAGGGGGGTTAGGGCCTAACCTATAGTAGAGACGTATTCGACTATTATAGTCTAATAACGCGATCTAAGCCGCCTTTTAAGGGTCTCCTTCTTCTCTAAGCTCCTTAGTATAAGGCCGTTGCAGCTAAGGCCCTCGAGGATACCTATCTCGTCTATATTAAAGCGTAATTCCGGTAGAATTGCCTATAAAGCCGGTAGGTTAAGTAACTAGAACTACTCCGTAATCCGAGCTATAGAGGCGCCGTTAATACGAGCAGAATCGAGAGCTTTACCTTTAATCGTGCTAACCTCTTAGTTATAGGCTAAAAGCTTAATACCTAATTTTTCCTAAGTAGGCGAAGGTCGCCGCTAGCTCTAACGATACGGCTAGCGAATTCCTTAAGCTAAAAGTGCGTAGGGGGCAGCCTAAGGGCGGCTTAGGCAAGAATCTAGTCCTTAAGGTATTTCTCTTGCTCTCGACTAAGCCGCTAATATAACTCTTATGCCTCTCTTATCGGTAGGGCGCCTTTAAGACGCGTTTAAAGCATGCCTCTTAGAATACCCTACTTACGACTAGTATATATCTACGGCATCCTATTTCTAATATTAAAAAGTGCTTCCTAGAGCTAATCTTTAGTATATTTAGAAGCTCGAGGCATCGTAATTTAAATAGTATATTATTTATAATTATTAGATAGAAGGTGCACGAGAAAACGCGGTTACGATATAATGTTAATGTCGGCGCGAGGGTGGTGGGGATGTGCTAGAAGGGGGGTATGCTGTAAGCTAGGTGGCTGACGTTATGCGAGACTAGCTATACCCGGTCCGAGTCGACAACGCTAACCGTATAGCAATCCTTAACGCGGAAGGCAACGTTCTACCTAGAGCGATCGAGGCCTTAAGTGCCGAAAATAAAGTAACTATTAGTAAGATTTCCTATTTAAGTAAACGAGAGTCTAGTAAAGCGTATAGGTCTATAGTAGTATATATTACTAAGAAAAGCAACGTAGAAAGGCTTTTAAAAGGGCACTACTTTAACTTAGCGGGAGGGTTAGCTATTACTTATATATTCGAGCTAAGAATAAGACTAATCTAATACTTTAACTACTAAGAGATCGGTTATAAAGTATATATATATAAGAAGTAGCGGATATATAGTAAGTATATAAAGGTTAGGTATTATTATAGAAAGTATATAGTAATTAAGCTAAAATGTATCCTATATAGTAGACTATATAAGTCGTTTAGCTAGAAGTATAGGATAAGGCACTTAAATAGTAATACTTAAGTCCCTCTATATCTTATAGCTAAATATATATAAGAGTAATATAGTATAGTAAAGCCTAATAAATAATATAGTATTACGACTACGGCTACTAGGCCGCTAACGGTCGACCGCGTTAAGTACGTAACACGGTCTAATAGATAAATAGTCAGCACGACTATCTAATAGATATAGGATTAAGGGGATCGTAGAGATCTAAGTAATCTAGGATTAATAGGATTACTATACTTTATACGATTTAACGTTAGGGATTACTACGCTCTATATAATCTAACGTTAGGGATTATAGCTAGGCCTATAATCTAAGGATAGTCTTGTTACGACCCGACCAACGGATGTTACGACCCGACCAACGGATGGCCATGACACGGGCCAGGGATGACTAACCGCTGAAGGATCACGTGACCATGCGAAAGGTGATCGGTGGATCGCCTTACGATCAAGCGAGCGGTGCTCGACGGATCGTTCATCGATCAAGGTGATCACCTCTGTGATCACCTCCAGCACCTCGCGATCAGAGACGGGCAGTTGGGTATATATAGCTGCCCCATTTCACTCCTTTAGACTAGATAGCTCTTTAGCTTTCAACACAATCATTACGATCCCTATCACGATCTCATCTCTGATTCCGATCACTTGATTACCTGGTTACAGTCTACGGTCTACGACCTCCGACTCATCACCAACGTGACATACTTATCATTGCTCAGACCACGCCCTGTTGTATCTGCCAACATAAACCCCTCGACAGGTTTATCCCTTGGGAATATCACCGGTCGTCACACGTTGAAAGCTCTTGTTCAGAACGATACCGCGTCTCTCTGAGCAATATCGCATAACTGTCAACATGCCTGCACAGCAAACTGGATCAACCAACTCGGACACACCGTGTCGCCGCAGGACATGATGCGCGAAATCATCAGCCTTCGACAGGAGGTCCAAGTGCTCAGGAACGGAGGAGGCAACGGACAAGTCAGGGACATCGGAGAAGCAGTCAAACCAAAACAGCCAGGACCATTCGACGGTACTCATGGCACGCTTCGAGACTTTCTCACCCAACTCAAAGCCTACCACCGATTCTATCCGACCAAGCTCTCGGACCCAGTCGAAAAGGTACTCCACGCAGGAAATTGTTTATCTGGAACGGCACTCGCCTGGTTTGGACCCATCATGAGGACTTTCTCGACAACCAACCAGCGCGACGAGACAACGAGACAGACGAAGTCTTTGCCAGTTTCCAAGGATTCGAAGAAGCCATTACGAAGGTATTCGGAACAACCGACGAGGAACGAGAGGCCGAACAGAAACTTCGAGAACTCCGACAAAGGATCTCAGCATCGGATTATGCTGCGAAGTTCCGTCAAGTCACCTCAAAGCTTGATTGGGACGACGAACCCTTATGTCACGATTCTACGACGGACTTAAAGAAGAAGTCAAGGACGAGCTCTACAAGGAAAATCGACCTGACAACCTCTCGGACTACATTGCTATGGCAGTACGAATCCCCCAAAAGGTAAGAAACACCTAAACGCTACTAACAAACAGGAACCAAAGCATGAACTCCTTAACTGGACTGCATGCTACGACGACAAATGTACGGTACACCTAAGCGACAAACAAGGTACCGGATGGTTTCCAAAACCACCAAAGAGAACCCTTGCAATGATGCAACGAAGGGATTCCACGACACCGAAACAAGTCAAATTCGCAGAGACAGAATATCCCTATCCTGAAGGAGTCTCACAAGACTGGATCAGGAAGAACGGCAAACGATTCCAGGAAGACATGCGAATTAAAGACCGACAGCAAAGACGGGCAGTCTACAAACAACATAACAAAGAGGACAC